CCCCCCCCCAACCGCCCAATGGCATTTTAAACACTGAATTCAGTAAGATTAAAAAATATCCTTTTGTATTTCATGCGTTGAAAATTTAAATTTAAAAAAAGAATATATATTAAATTTGATCGGACTGAAATTTAACCCAGTTCAAATACCATTAACATTATTATTATTTACAGGGGAAAAATAGCTAAACAACATGAACAATTGCCAATATACACGAATACATGATGTAACGTACTTGTCATTGAAGTTTCGCGACAAAATGTCAATGTTACGCAGAAGGTCGTTTTCAATGCTCAAACTGAGAGCAACTATTTAGTCGCTTTTGTGTAATACGACCGTTTACCTGCAGAACAGTTCGAAATCATCAGACTCAGATAAATACGGAATACGATCACAGTGTTTGGAAATACAGTTTCCAGATTGTTCGCCACAATGAACCTGTATATACAGTATGCCGCCATGCGCATTTCCGGCGACTCCACGTTCAATCCGATTCTGACGTCATCATCTTTCGTTATGACAGCTAGGTCACCATCATCAGACTCGTCAGAGAATGTGTCGATCATATAGACTGGGCAGAAAAATTTGCAGGAACACAGTTGAGGTGTAGCCGCATCCAATGACTTCTTAACAAGTTCTGTGTTGAGAAAACCAGATCAGAGTCGTACTAATTCGTCAGACAGGCCAACTGTTAAATCTGTGGGGTATGACCTTTGAAGGTTCTTTGCATTTGGGATCACTTGATCAACTGGAAGGTCCTTGCATGAGCTCTCACAGGAAGCCAAACCTTTCGGCGGTACGCTATGATTCCAAATGTTCATGTCACATCAATAAAGTCTGAACAGTCTATAAGAGCATGAATATCGGCTGTGCAAAATAACCCGGATAAGCCAGCAACAGAAAGTGGCCTTTGTGGAGCAATAGACGGTACCATTTCGGCCTTATGGGCCTCATCAGTGTAGTGCTGATGAGCCGGATGAAAGTAACTGCTATTTACAGTTACCTTTGATGCTTCACGAATGTGGGGCATCAATTAAAACCATGCCAGAGCGGTCAAACTGCAAGCAGTGAGCGTGCGCAATGTATATATGTATATGTATATGTATATGTATATGTATATGTATATATATATATATAGAGAGAGAGAGAGAGAGAGAGAGAGA